GGTAGGCGAACTACGTTGACTCTGATTTCTCGTTCCAGGCGGGAATACGTAGGCATAAAGTGCGGTACTTTGCCGAGTCATTTTTATTTTCAGTTTTATTTTCTTTTTAACCCCCAGACCTTTAGCGTAGATAGAATAACAATCCATACCCGAAAACAAGCGTGGATCCCGTCGAGTACGACGGACGTGAGGGGTGCTAATACCTTCCCCTTGCGTAACCGACTCCCGAATCCAGGTTTTGGTTGCGATGACCATACCTTTCCCGTATTGTGCGAGGTTTACTCTGAGCGTTTCCTTTCCCTCCCGTGGGATAAATAACGCACGGTGGCGACTCTTCTGTTCAGCCGGCGCCGATTTTCGCAGTAGCGACAAGCCCCACCACATCAATCCTCACCAAAAATCACACCAGCCTCACTAACTCATTATTCTACAATTGTTTTACCCAATTAGTGTCCAATTCACCCGATGAAACATCGACTCTAGCCGATCAATTCACTCTCGACTCAGAACCACATTCAACTCTGGAACCCCCAATTCCTCAATTAACCATCAAATTCAGCATGCAACAGTTCGACACAAACATCAACGATGTAAAACAGAATTAATACATGCAATATCATCAACTCATCATGCAATTCATCATCAACATGCAAACATCTTCATTCATGGGGTTAGGGATTCCCCTTCCTACCAATTATTCATGTAAATACCCATTCGATCGATATATTCCCCCCCTCCCTTACCTCGAATTCATTTTGATGATGAAGGAGCTTCACAATCCGCAGCCTTGATGCACTCTTTCCCGCTCTTGATCGTTCTTGCTCTTGATGCTTCAACCGTGTTTCTCAGCTCATGTGTGTTCCTCTTCTTCCAATTCTAATGTCAAATGCCAAACATGCTCCTCCTCCCAATTAATCCACTTTTATTCCAATTAAATAATATTCTCATAATTCTTTAATTCCAAAAATCCAATTAATAATAATAATAAACTTATTTTTCTTTTAATTTCCAACCCTTTCCAATAATATTTTTAAATATGACAACAATAATAATAATATCAATAATAATAGTATTAACACTATTAATCATCATATTATTATTATTATTATTATTATTATTATTATTATTATCAATCATGGTTTTCTAATATTATGGAACTTTATTCCTCAACAAAAATCCATGCAAGCACGCCGAAAATGAAAATAACACCGAAAATAAAAATGATTAAAATGGGCGTTACATCTATAGTACCAGAAAGTATCTCCCTGGATCTCATCCAGAACAGAACAGGGTGCCCGCTCTGATGCCAATTGAAATTCTGGCACGTAGTGGACAGATGTCAGGATGTCGTAACAACAAAATTGCAGGAATTTAAATAACACACAATAGTTGTTAACCCACTTCGGTGCAACGTCACCTGCATCTGGAGGCTACCAAGGAAGGAAGGAAATTCGCTGTGACAGTATTAGTTCAAAGCTAAACTCCCCCATTTACAACTTATCACTTAATCACTACCTTGTGCAACTTCTACCTAGACACCCTTTAGATATAAGATCCCCCTCTCACTTCCTAATCAGTCACAAACCAGTGACAATTCAACAATAACAAAAAATAGAAGTAAACACACTTCCAAGAACAATACTTAGTTTTTCTTAAAAGCTTTAAATTAAGGACTATACACTCTTACTTAAAAGCTCATGATTGAACAATTGACAATTAGCATAATCCTACTCATATGTCAAAATACATAAGAGAGGAACATAAAAAACAACACAAAACCCTAGAAAAATTCTCACACAAAAATACGACACACATACCCTTTCTAGGTTAAAAACCTTTCTTATAAATAGCCTTTGAAAAACATGAACTTTGGCTTAAAAACAACAACAGATCTAAAACAGCAGCTGCAAATATTCTGCACAATCTTATGCACAAAAATAGAAACTAAATAGAAAGTTTCCTAAAAAGTCTCCAAGATCCTTTTTACAAAAACTAACAGAAATTATCATAACAGAAATTTCCACAATATACTCCCTTGAGTAACACACATGTGTGAATCAAAACACATTAAAAAATCACACTAAAAATACCAAAATAATCATACCATAACTTTCTGGTATAACATGTCCTGACCCATGTCACAACATGATGTCTAACTATCATGGCAGAGCATCTAGTTTAACATCTTGCTAACAACATGTTGCTTTACCAAAATGTAGTCAATTCAAAAACCACAGAACTTACCATTTTTTTCTTCAGAAAATAAAAAAAATACTGAAAATTTAAAAAAAATATTTTTACTTTTGAACATAAATATTTTTCTTAAAATAAAAAATATTGTTTTTTAAACAATTCTTGTAAAAAATGATTTAAAAAAATTTAAATCAAAACTAATTATAAAATTGGTTATGGATATAACTGGTTTATAATTATTTTGCAAAAATAAAAATCAGCTATGACAATTGATTTTAATAATCGGTTATAATATGAATTATTTATTATTCTGGATTGGTTATAAAAGTTAACCGTTTATGAGCATTTTTAAACATTGCAAGAGGGGGAGACAGGAACATATTTTGCTTTAAATCAAACTCGAATCACAATTAAATCCCTTTTTCCGCCTTAAACCAAAAGAGATTAAAAGTTAAATCAAAAACCCATCCTAAACGGGTATGGGTATCTCGGCTCCATTTCATATCCGTGTCAATTTTGTAAATTAAAATAATCAATTTCTCTAAATTCATAATTTATTTCGAACTCTAATAAACATTAAAAATAATTGTTAAATTTTTTAAACATATATTTCAAATATTATAATTAAATATTAGTGTAACTAAACAATTAAATTATAATTAATCAAAATTAAATATTTTAAATTATCAACTCATAAAGAGTATGAGATGAGTATCAATGTCTTCATTACCTGTCCTATACTTATAAAATTAAGAAAAACTCAAACCTAATCAAAGTCGATATTTTTTTTGTCAAACACAAGGTGATTTTGGAAAATACTCGTGAGTACGAATTATATAATAATAAATACATGTGGTATAATAAAAAATAAAAAATAATGACTACCATAAATAGGGAGGTAAAATACTTATAATTGTATAAATATTTTCTTCTCAAAATAATTTATGATAAAAAACAGAGGTACTACTAGAAATAGGTGGTTTTAAATATAAACACTCTCATATTTCATTGCAACATTAAAACAAACCAGGTACCGTATGCATCTGCCCGAATCCGTCCCAAAATTAATAAAAAAAATCTGATTTAATTGGGTGCAGGTATGAAGAAAATTTAATTCTTAATTACAAATGCGGATGTAGATATAGAGAGACAATAAGATCCATTCGCACCTGCTCGCCTCCGAATAATGCATTTTAATTTAATTATCTTATTTTATTTATTTTAATATTCATTTATTAATTATATTTTTAATTAAATTATTAATATCTTTATTGCAATTAAAATAATTAAGTTAATATTTATTTATTAATTAAAATTTAATTAAATAATTAATTAATTTATTAAAATAATTAATTTTTATTGTAATTAAAAAATTATTTTTTTACGTGTGGGAGTGGGGCGGGTGCGAGTGCATCCGTTCTTCACTGAAGGTAGATCTGGACAGTAAATTTTTATCTCCGATTAAATTTAAGAGTAAAAGCGAGTGTGTTACATGAAGGCGGATGCGAATGCCGTCTCCGCCGTTACCATCCCTACATTTAATATATGGTTAAATACTAATACTATACAATGCAGTTAAGAGCATAAAGAAAAGTAATAAAACCATTTAACTCAATTCTTGGTTTCATCATGTTCTTTTATTTAATAAAGATTACTAGTACCTTATATCTGTTTTCGTCCGTCAAATTAATCAATTTTATTATCTTAAATTAATCAATTTTATTAACTTTTAATTATAAATGTTTAAGGTAAAATAATTTTATTAAATATCTATTACATACTTTTTTTAAAAAGAAGATATATGATGAATATTCAATAATATTATTTAATCTTAAATATTTATATTAAAAATTAATAATTTTTTCAAATGACAAAATAATAATATTCTTTATAAAGAGGTGAAAACCATCCAAATATAAAAAAAATAAAAAAAAATAAACTTTATTAATTAAGTAAATTTAATAAATTAAATAATAATATTTATTAAACAAAAAATTAACATAAAATCAAAAATATTATTAGAGAACTTACCGTCTAATTAAACCAAAAATTAAATAATAAATTATACTATAGTAAGAAAATCACGGCATCTTCTAGATAATAAAATGAATTTAGTATTTAGGTATTTTAAATCAAATCACCTATTTGGTATAAATTAGAGATTATATTCGATGTATAGCTGTGTAATAATTTTCATTTAAATAATTAATTAATCAAAGTATAAATTTAAAATTTACCTCACCAATGATTTTTGTTATTTCATACAAAACTATTATAAATAATTTAATAAAGTTAAATAACATAAATAGAAAAAAAATCAAAATACTTCTAATGAAACAAAAATTCTATAAAATTTAATTTTAAAGTATTTATTTAGTTATTTTATAATATATTTTATTATTTTAACAAAAATAGCATTAACATATTTTTTTGGTCAAATAACAAATATAATCTATTAAAATTAATACTATTTTTAATAAAATCAGATTTGACCAAAAATAAACAATAACAAAAATAATTTTTTTCTAAAAAAACAAACCTAATCCAACTGGCCTATCATTATTAAAAAAAAACACATTTAAGTTTACACTTAAATAAATCAAAACCTTCTCTATAAATAATTATTAAAAAAAAACCCTAAAACCAAAACAAACAAAAAAAAACTTAGTAGCTGCTAAATTACACGAAACTAGTAACTGAGTTTCCCCTTTGCCCTCTTTGTACTTATTCAACACAACCCAACCCAAAGTACAACAAACTCAAACCTTGCCGGAATATTCACCGGAGTTTCTCTTCCACCGTCGAAAATGGTGAGAATTTCGTACACCTTTCCCTTTTTCATTTTCATTTTCGGTTTTTTAACTTCTCTTGTAGCGTCTTCGAGGATGGGATTCCATCGAAATTTCCTCTCTCATAGATCAGAGCTCCACTTTGCACTTCAATTGTGTCATAAAGCGGTTTGTTTTAACATATTCATATTCATGAAAATTAGTAAATCTATTTACACTGTACATGCAACTGTGCATTAGGAAGAAAATTCTGGATTTGAAGTAATGCACTTGTTTTTAATCTATGGAGTCTTACTGTTACCGCAATTTTTTTTAAGGTTTACTTGATAATCTTTGCCAAAGTAGTTTGCTGAATCTGGTTTGTTTGCTTATATCAGACGGGGGCTATGGGTGTGTCAGAGTCGGGACGTGAAAATGGTGAATCTGGCTGTCAGGCGAAAAAGACTGACGACACCCCCGCAACGGACACTTCTCAGAAAATGAGAGGGGGTAAGAATTCACATCGAACTAGTTATTACACTTGTGCAATCTGTTATGTTATGCTTGTAAATCTTTTCCTAGATAGTGGTGTCAGAAATGTAGTTTTAGTTTTCTACCTTGTATGTTTGGAAAATTGATGATTTATTGAATTCATGTATCTTGATGCATTAATAAGGATGTGCGTCAAGTTTAATATCACTGAAAATAAATAGTCTATTGAAGTACAAAGTCTCTTGTGTTAATGGTAGTCGCTCAAATTTGACATTTAAGTGTATGAATGCTTACTCTCTAGAGCTTAGGTATCATTTATAAATTTCATGATTTGATTGTGATAAAAGGACATTTTTTGGTATATGACATTGATGTGAAACTAGAATTTTATTATGTTACCCTATTTATTTGGCATACAACTATCAAAGAATGCTAATAGATTTTAAAATGTGAATCCATGCATTTAGTTCCTTTTAGGCGTTTGATTCACATGTAGAAGTGTAAGAGAGCTTCATATATTAACCTAAGCTTCGTTGTTTTGGTTATGTATCATTTAATTTTGTTCTTATTATGCTGGGGTCCATAATTGATTCCTCATTGGCATATAATGTGCTGAATCTTTGTGATTAGTTGGGCATCGTTTCATATGGTGCAGTTCGCAAACACAATTTTGTAATTTCATGATGTTGGATACAAGTCACTTATTGGGCATAACTTTTCTTTCATAACAGGTGCTGAGTCTCGATTTCGGAAAAGAAGCAAATATTTATCTTACCCATACACAAATAGTGAACCAAGACTTAAAAGTTTTCCAGCTGAAACAGAAGAATCAAAGACTCCAAGTCCTGCTCCTAAAGCAAAAGCTTCAAGCAGAACCAGTAATCCTAAAAATGGATCTCTTTCATCAACTAAATTTGGTGGCAATAGGTTCCAAAATAACTGGTACAGAAAATTCATTAGCTGTAGTAAAATGTGTAGTAATCCAAAATTCATCGGTGCATCTTCCAGTGACTTACTTTCAGGACTGCACTCTTTAGCTGTTGGTGGTATGTCTCCAATTAAAGATAAGAGGTTTGATATGGTTGAGTGGTTCTTCTGCAAATATAGAATAGCAAAGTATCACGATGAGACTGAGCTGGCTACTTCCCTGTTTAATCTGAATGAAGGGAAAACATCGAAACCTGTGGACGATGGTGTTGTGGACACCAAAAGTGAGAAGAAGAGAAAGAACACTCAAGCAGAAAGTGCAGCAAGGCGTAAGATGAAATCTCTTTTTGGCCTATCCAATACAAATAATAATGTTTCTACTGGAGATTGCACAGGTTCGGGGAAAAAATCCAAACAAAAGAGGAAGGTGGAAGAAATAACTTCGCAGAATCAGCTGCAAAATGCAGAGACGACTTCCCAAAATCATAATTTCCCTTCTGAAAAAAAGACCAAGTCTAAAAAGAGACCGAAGTTGGAAGCTGCACAAGAGCATCAGGGTGCTCAATCTGCTTCGCATTTGGATGCAAAAAGTATCGAATGCAACTCACTAGTTGTAGATTTGCAGGTTATGCCCCCATCTATGTCTGTTGATTTTCATCAGAAAAGTAATGGTGAAATTAAGAAAGAACAAGTTTCTATAGTTTCAAATCCAAAGTTACATGTCTCCCAAAGCGAGCTTGATGGAAATGTTACCCCTAGTAACTTGCTAGGGAGCACATCGGAGGCTAGTACTGTCGCCCCTGAAGAACTTGTTGGAAATATTACCAATCACAACTTGTTCAATGATACTACATCAGATGTTGACATTGTCTCAATAAATAAAACAGGGATGGAGGTAGCACCAGAGGAGCTGATTGAAGACGTCTCAATAAATAGAACAGGGATAGAGGTAGCACCCGAGGAGCATCCACGAAAGATACCTGATTTGAACAGTATTAGCTTTGAATCATGTTCTACAAGAAAAGAGTCTGAGAATGTCAACATGCTTTTACCTGAATTGCAGTCACAACACCCAAGAGGTTTATCTGCTTGTTCGAGAATTACCAAAGCTGTAAACCTTGATAGAGTGGAGATCATTGGAGAATCACCTGGAACCTTTCTGTTCCTACAATTTGCTCAAGGACCAGGAGTTGATATCCCATCAAACGGGGATTTGTTGAAAACATTTTGCCAGTTTGGTCCTTTGAAAGCAACCGAAACTCATTTGATAAAAGACAACACCTGTGCTCAAATTGTTTTTGTTAACAGCCCAGATGCTACTGAAGCATTGCGTAGTTTAGAGTATAACAAACCATTTGGTGCAAGTCTTGTGGGCTACAGGCTCCATTATCCTCCTGTTGTGGTGGCTCCACCATTGGAGCACTTCCGGACTCCAACTCAGCCATCTATCTCTATGTCAATGTCTGGTGAGGCACCTCCTCCCCTTCAGGTTATTAAGCAAAAGTTGCAGATGATGTCATCAGTGCTGGAGAACTCGGGGAATAATCTTTCACCTGAGACGAGAGCCAAATTGGAAAATGAAATAAATAATTTGCTTGGAAAGGTGAATTCTAGGACTAATAGAGTATGAAATATCAGTATGTGAAGTTGTCCTATATAAAGTCAAGCATCATTGTAGTGTAGATTATATTAGACTAGTTTGGGTTTCTGTTCTAGTTCTTCAGGTGTTGCTCTGTTGGACTTTCCTACCCATTCTTTGATTTTGCACAAAATGGCGCAAGGGGATATGTATTACTGATTGTCATTTGACTACCATTATCCCAATCAAATATTTATCAAATCTTTCATCCATATGTATGCTGTGTTTTACTTATTCACTTAGAGGAGTGCTGGTAACTCCCTTTAAACACATCTTTTATTGATTAAACTTCAAATATGTCCCATCCTTTTATGCGGATCCCATGTAAATTTGATGAGATCCATGTTAAGTTTAATCAATTAAAATGGCTTAGATATTGTATGGCTGCACTTTTTATTTATTTTTGAATATGAATGCTCGTATTCTTGTGTAAAGTTATGATTTATGAAATCAAGCTGGACAGAAAAAAACTATAAGACTCTAGCTTACAAGATTTATCGTAGGCCAGGACTCGGGTTTTTCAAAGCATGGCCTGGCCAGGCCAATCTCACCCTAGACATGACCCTGGAACGTTGAAATGCCAAGAGTAACTAGTTGAATAAATAAATAAATTAGTTGTAATTACATATGTTGGTATTATTTTAGTTGTAATTACATATGTTGGTATATAGGGATGATACTCGGACTTATATCTAGTGAGTTTCGATAGAAACTGTCCAATGGGTAAAATAAAAATTTACAAAATGGTTATGAATACGGGTGTTTTCTAATAAAATAAATGAACTGAGTACTTTAATATACATTCCATCTAATACCGGCTACGTATATATTATATATTTTAAGTTTGATTCTTCTTATTATTACTATTATATCTATGTATATATTATATATTTTAATTTTAATTATTACATGATAATGTCGGTTTATTAATTTAAAAATATACATTATTATTAAATTAATATATATTTTATGTCACGGTCAATTGTACCAGCAAAGGATGAAGAAGGCGTTCGATAAAAAGATTCGATCACGTGAATTCAAAGAGGGAGACCTTGTGCTTAAGAAAATCCAATCTTTCCTCACTGATTTCTGAGGGAAGTAAACTCTGAACTATGATGATTCATATGTTGTCAAGAAAGTCTTCTGAGGAGGCGCTCTGATGTTAGCAACTATGGATGTGGAAGAGATCACCCGACCGATGAATATGGATGCAATCAAAAAGTATTATGCCTAAGAATGGAGAGAACGGTTCATATTGGATCATCACTACTACTATCCAAGAATCATCAATCAGAGCTTCAGAAGTCTAAAACATAAAAAATTCAAAGTCGTTTAGGAAGATAGTGGTTATTATTCTTTGATGTAACATTTTCCATTTATTACCATTTTCAAACGTTGTAATAATATATGGAGTCATGCATTTTGATGACTACCATTCAATAAATAAAGCGAAGCCTTTTGACAATCATTATACTTACTTCTATGTTTACAAAGTGTTTTTTTATTTTTGATAGCAGTTTTTGGAACAGTTTTAAATCTTTTTCTAAAACTTTGTGTGTGTGTGTTACTTTGATATATGAACACTAAAGGACATTCATAGTTCCTTCCAAGGAAGGGTAGATTGTAAGATGCAAGATTATATTATCTTCATAACTTCATTTTACCCAGACTCCAAAGGATTTCTATGATAATTTCCCAGTAAGTCTCTACTTCAGGTAGTCGTGACTATTCCGCCGACGAATCTCTATTTAAAGCAGTTATGACGTGTATGGTACAAGAATTCTCCAGCTGGTGACTTGAGAACTTTCAGTGATTGTCCTTAATTTCAACCTTCCCAGTGAAGTGGATGTCTCCTCACTCCTCAGTGGATTTTTTTATTTCAGTCTTCCTCAGCAAAGTGGATGTTTATTTCATTCCCATGAAATCTCAACTCTGACATCTGCAGCTACAACTTTGATCCGAGCTTCCCCAATGAAATTGATATTTATTTTATCCCCTGCAAGATCTCAGTTCGGGTATCTCCATCTACAATTCTAGTAAGAGTCTCTCCGGTGAAGCGAATATTTATATTATCCTTGAAGTCTCTCCAATCATGAACTTGATCCTTTCCCAGCAGATCATTCTCATCTTCAACAGAGTAACCAGATTCATCTTGACAATCCTAAGTGAAGCCAGGATGTTATATCCTCAAATGGAGTATTCTATTTTTCCTAGAGGAGTTTGAAGCCTCGAAGTAGGACTGTGGTCCCATATGTGGTTTTCCATTCATCTCTAGTGATGCTTCTATCTTTGAAGACTGACCGAGTATCTGCGTCGAGATGTTTATTTCATCTCCAGTGTACTTCCTTCTTTTCGTTTGTTTTGTCAGCATAAGCATAAGCATAACATACATTCATATAGATATATCACATCTACGCATTTTTTCATTTTTTTTGTTTGTTCATTCTCTCACCTTGGCTGTGTTTATCCTCAAATGACTAGGTTCGTCTCCTCCCTCCAAGTAGAGTCGTCAGTCTTAGGCAGAAAGAACATATTCCTTCTAATATTCCCCACCGAGTTCGATCCTCGTGGAAGATGGTTGCTTTAGATAAACTTCAATTGAGTTCATTCCTCACTGGATGGGGTCTTGTTTGTCCGTTTCTTTTCAGTTACTTCCTGAATTGAACTTTGGTCCCTGACAATCACAAATTTTGAACCTCTCTAGGCTATTAAACCTGGATTGAGCGTGCACTTATTTTGCACTTTGTCTCCCCGAGAAGAATCTGTTTGAAGATCACCATTGAAGACTAAATATTTCTCCAACAACGTGATAACATTTTCTCAGCATCTTATACCAAGACGACAAGTGTCAGCCTCTTTATTTGAGCAACTTGTTTTGTTCTCAAGTTTTCTATTTAGATGGCAAACGAAGGTCTCTTTTCAAGACAGTTTACCTATCCCCATAAATTATCAAGATTATTAACTCGTCCATCATCAAATGGCATCTCTTTGGAAATCCGTCAGAGAAGTTTGTTGAAGACTTTACAAGTGTTTCTCTTTATTTGAGAATTCTTGTTACAAGGATTTTATTTGCTTCAATGCAATCTCAACTACAACAACATTTCTCCTCAGTGATGTTCTCCTCAGTGATGTTCTCCCCAGTGAGTCCACTAAACAAAGTTAGTTTCATTAAATGGCATCTCCCCGAGAAATTTGATGAAGATTCTTACAGTTGATCTTTCTCTTTATTTGAGGAGACATGTTTTATAAATCAACCGGTCTGCATCTCTTTCGAAGATCCCCAGTGATATTTCCTAATCTCCAGTCAGTTATGGATTTCCCTCTGAAGTCGTAGATCTCCAGTGGAACTCCAATCCCCTGTGAAGATGCTTTCTCATAAGTATTCATCTTTCCAAGAAGAAACTGAAACTCGTTCATGGCATACAACCTTGAAGCGTGGGGAAGTTTACTTTACCCTTTTCAAGTGGAATACTTGATTAAAGAAGAAACTGAGACCCGTTCATGACATACAACCTTGAAGTGTGGGGAGGTTTATTTACCCTTTCTAAATAAATAATTTAGTTAAAGAAGAAGCTGAATCATGTTTCGATCATGGAAGCTTATTTCGGTTATTACCTTTGCTTAGGCTATCATGTTGATAGTAGGTAACCGTACCTTTTGCACAAATACCTTTTCTTAGGCTACCAGGTTTGGTAGTAGGTCATCCTTTTGTGTTTACCTTTGCTTAGGCTATCATATGTTTGATAGTAGGTAACACGCCTTTCTTTGGGTCAGACACCTTTGTTTATGCTACCGTGTTTGGTAGTAGGTGATCTCTCTTTTTCGTGTTTACCTTTGCTTAGGCTATCATATGTTTGATAGTAGGTAATACGCGTTTCTTTATTTCAACTGGATGCCTTTACTTAGGCTACCTACTGTTGGTAGTAGGTTATCCTTCCTTTCAAGTATCTTACCTGTTGTTTAGACTACCATATTCTTGGTAGTATGCAATACACACCTTTATTTTGTTGGAGATACCACATGCTTAGGCTATCCCTAGTGGTGGTTATTTGTCTCTTTCCCGGTGAAGTTGGATCTTTTCCCGTGGAGTCTTACTTTGCTAGGTTGTTCCTCGTCGGGTCTTCCATTCTGTGCTTCAACGTTTTCCGTATAAAGTTGTGGCATCGTTCCCTATAGACCTTTGTCTTGCATATCATATCATAGCATATCATATCATGTGCATTTGGTGGCATCTTAGGGGCAAATATTGTGCATGTTTGTATTTAAGTCTCTCCTATCACGTCGAGACAAAGATTTCAATCTCTAGATCTTCGGATAGAAGAAACTTAAATAGGGGCATTTGTCACACCCTATTTTTCAATCCTAAGATCTCACTTCTTTGTGCATCGTCTTGCATATCTGCGTGCTTTATTACTAACAGGTTTGTTCAGGAACTTTGATTTCAAGTAGAAATAACAATCGCTCTCTCAGTCAAGTACCTCAAGACGTGATCAATGGATTCTGATTAAAAGAGTCCTAAGGTTCTCTACTGGTTACTTTCCTCAAATTTTCTCAGAAATTCCAGTTGTCGCTACGCGAAAAATGACACAGAGTCGCCACCGGATTTTATTTATCCCAAGGAGGGAAAGGGAAATAACGATAAAACCTTTAGGAAAGAGCATGGTCACTGCAACCAAGTCTTAGGGTTCGGAAGTCGGTTATGCGAGGGTAAGGTATTAACACCCCCTCGCATCCATCGTACTCGATGGGAACCTTCTAGGTTGTTTTAGCGTGAATGAGTATTTTTATTAAAAATGTGCTTGCTTAAGGAAAAAGGGGTTGATTTTGTAGTTTAATGCTCGCCAAGGATTATGGCCCTTGTGCCTACGTATCCTCACTTAAAAGAAGTGAAGAATCAAAGCTCCGTAGTTTGGAGGCTTATGAAATGATTGTTTGTTGGTTGATTTTATACCTTAAAAAAGGGTTTTCGGATTGATGCCCTAAGGCGAAAA